GTATGAATTACTTTTGCTGGCATCCTTGTCTGGCTTCAGTAGCGGAAATACCCTGTCCATTTTCCAGACATCGGGAACTATAAGGCTGGGTTTGGAGGAGTTTGGTGAAATACTCAACTCCTGGATCATACAGTGGCTTCAACATCTCAACAGAGATTCCGTCAGGGCCAAGCGCTTTGGATGACTTTGCGCTCCTGATGACATGTGCAATGTGGTGGTACCTCCTCGGCTGTAAGAGATCGAACACGGCGTAGGATTATTCTCTTAGCCTTGTCACTCTTAGGATGCTCTATGAATTGCCGGTTGAAAATCAATGGTCTGTTGATGTCTGTCTGTGAAAATGACAGCATTGAAGTAGGAACAATGCAAATTGAAACTTTACTCGAATGTGTGTTTCGTTTGCTGGACTTTTGATACTGAAAATGGGCTATAAAGGTTCATGTTTTGGTGTAGCCCCTATATTGAAATTTCGTATTTTAAGTTCCTAATGGGTACTACAGTCTATGATAGAAAATTGCCTATGCATGCATTCGTATAGCTCCCACATATCGGCACCTCGCTATATTCAGTATTTTGACGATTTTAGTTACATTATTCACCGGACTTTTTTCTAGTTTCGTATTTTAAGATCGTAATGGATACTACAGTCTATGACAGGAAAATGTCTATGTAGTTCCTGGTCTTTGTATAGTCCCCTTATATCGGTACCTTCCAATATTGCGTTTTTGATTATTTTAGCTACTTTATTCACTGGAATTTTTTCAAGTTTCTGAAAAAATTGAATTTTGTAATGGTCTATGACAGAGATTGCCTATTCAGGTCCACGCCTTCATGTAAACCCCAGTACAACGGCAACTTCCTATTCCAAATTCGTTCCATTGGTGGGAGGGTATTCAAAGTTCGGAAAGTCTGCAACTTAAGGAAAAGAATATTCCTAACTTCTCCAGAAGGGCATATAACGTATTTTTATGGATAAGAGTCCGCATGCAAATATTTTAAACTTAGAAAGGATATAAGGGCATTATATTACGGTTACAATATACTAAGTTTCACAGTGTTATAATGTCTGATATCTTCTTCGAAAAAACCAACTTTTTTTTGGATTTTTATACCCAACACCATATGGAGGGTATATTAAGTTCGTCATTCCGTTTCATGTCAGACCCAACAAAGTATATATATTCTTGGTCAGCGTAAAATTCTAAGTCGATTTAGCCATGTCCGTCCGTCTGTCTGTCTGTCTGTCTGTCCGTCTGTCTGTTGTAATCATGCTATCTTTCGAACAAATTGAGATAGAAGGCTAAACGTACCTCCTGATATTCGGTATTTTGATGATTTTAGCGATATTATTCACCGGAATTTTTTCAAATTTTTTATATGAAGTTCGTAATGGATACTACAGCCTGTGAAATTGTCTGTGCAGGTCCACGTTTTCTTAAAGCCCCCATATAACAGTACCTCCCGATATTCGGTATTGTGAAGATTTTAACGACATTATTCACCGGAATTGTACAGCCTAAGACAGAAAATCGGTCATGTAGGTCCACGTCTTCGTATAAGCCCCACATATTAGTACCTCACTACATTCGGTATTTTGATGAATTTAGGATGAATTTAGGTATAGTACTCACCTAAATTGTGGATGCTACAGCCTGTGACACAAAATTGTTTATGCAGGACCAGGTCTTCGTATAGCTATACACGGTATTTTGATGATTTTAGCAACATTATTCACCGATTATTTCTAGTTTCGAATTTTAATATGGTAACGGCTTATGACAAACAATGCGTATGTAGGTTCACGTCATAAAGACCTCAATATAACGGCTATATTTGCCATTTTTAAGATTTTAACAGATTTTATTTTTTGAAAATGTCTAAATTCGTTCAAAATGGTGAAGAATATTCAAAGTTCGGCCCGGTCGAACTTATTGCTTTTTAACTTGTTCTCGCCTCAAAAGATACTGCCAGATTCAGATATTATTTTCTATTATTTTTAGTAACTTTCTGTGCTCTACTACTTATCATTTATTCTTAAAATGATCGGTTAAAGCTGACATTTTCCTCTGGAACAGCGTGACCGTTGTGCCACTAAAGTATCAATTTTGCCACCTTTTTTGGGTTTTGATACCTTTGTGCCACTTTTTTATTTTGATCCTAAATGAGCCACTTTTTTGAATTTTTGTGCCACTTTTTTATACATTGTGCCACCTTTTTTTAAATTACATATATTTTAATCTAAACGCTGTATTTAAAACAATGAAATGAAACAATGACAAGCGTCGTACGCTGCCATTTCCAATTTGCGATAGCAAATTTTAGAGCAAACGCTCTTATATTAGGTGTTTGTAAGTGGTTTTCGCTTGCTCGAAGTTGTCAACATTGTTCTGTTTGTTTATTTCTGGAACAACTGTTATGCTAGGAACACAATTGGAGCGAACGACGAATTTCGCCCTACGCGGCGACAAAATGAGCCACGAAAATTCGTCGTATGGAACACAATACCGACGAAATTATAAAACAGCTGATCAAGTTGTTTACTTTTTGCTCATTTGTTGACTACAATGAAAATTATACAAGAACTCATAATTCTTTATTATTTCAGTTATGTCCATCTTCTCTATTATAAATTCACTGATATCCATCTTCACTCAGGCGCAAGTGCACAAATAAATAAACAAATTATTTATGTTTTTTATACGAATAACAGATAGTAGAGTGACCATAACAAATTCTAAAGTAAAAAGTAACTTTATTTACTAAAACACATAAAATTCGTACAAGTATGGCCACCTTGTACTGTTTTGTCGCCGTTCGCCGGCGTATGAAATAGAAATAAAGCTAATTGAGTTCGCGGCGACCGACGAAATTTTCGCCGGCGCCGTGATTGTGTGCACTTCCATATACACATATGTTTTTTATTTTTGACGACGAACATACGCCGCGAAAAAATTCGTCGTTCGCTCCAATTGTGTTTCTAGCATTAAGAGACATTTTTAATTACTTTACTACAGCCTATGACAGAAAATTTTCTGTGCAGGTCTACTTCTTCGTATAGCCCCCATATTACGGTACCCCCGATATACAGTATTTTGTTGATTTTAGCTGCATTATTTACCGGAATTATTTCAAATTTTGTATTTGAAGTTTGTAATGGATACTACATCCTATGCCAGAAAATTGCCTGTGCAGGCTTATGACAAAAGTTGCTTATGCAGATCCACGTCGTCGTATAGACCCTGATATCCGGCTACATTCGGTATTTTTAAGATTTTCACAGAATTTTTAATGGATTTTAGTTTTTTGAAAATTGCCAAATTTGTACCATATGGTGGAGGGTATTCAAAATTCGGCCCGGCCGAACTTACTGCTTTTTTACTTGTTATACCCTACACCACAAGATGGTCAGGGTATTATGTCTTTGTGCATTTGTTTGTAACAGGCAAAAGGAAACTAGATAGACCCATAGTTCCTTTTGATGATCTGCATAGAATCACATTCTGAGTCGATTTATGCATGTCTGTCCGTCCGTCCGTCCGTCCGTCCGTCCGTCTGTCTGTCTGACTGTCTGTCCATGTATTTTTGAGAACAAAGTACATTTCGCATTTATTACCCTATCCTGATGAAATTTTGCACCAATCATTTGCAAACTCTATTGAAATTGGAGATAATCGGTCAAAATTTAGATATAGCTCCCATATATATCTTCGTCCGATTTGACTTTTATTGTGCACCAAACGTGTAATATCGGCCCGAATAGTATGGAATTTTGCACATACAGCCAAATTAAGCCTGATATAATAATATAGCTATAGCTCCCATATATATTGTTCATCCGCAGCCGTAATATGCACTCTGTAACAACGATATTCAGGGAAATATATCAAATACAGCTCAGAAATATCTTTGCCAAATTTTAACGAGATCGGTTCCGATTTGGATATAGCTCACATATATATCTTTATCCGATTTCAAACTAATTTAAACTAATTTAAAAGATACAAATGCTTGAGCATATTTAGTCCTTTGAACTTTAAATTCATAGCGTGTATGATTGAGTTCTCGCATAAAAACTTTTAATTGTTATGCGGAGCGCTACAAAATTAGCAAAGTGGTGTAGGGTATCATAAAGATGACTTTAAGGCTTTCTCTACTGGTTAAATGTGCAATATGTACATACATATATTATTACTATATAGTATTATATATAGTTGAATTTGTTGTTTTGTTCTAAACTGTTATTTTTTAAATAAAATATGAAATAAATTGTGCCACTTTCTGTGCCACCATTTAAAATAATATGTGCCACTTTTTTCAAGAAATGATACTTTTTGTGATACTTTTTGAAAATTTCCAGCGGTCACACTGCTCTGGAATAGCCCACATAGAGCTTGGCAAACAATGTGTCATTGTGTATGCCATTGTATGTATGCATTTCGTTCTAATTTTTTTTTAACATCGTTATTACCACAAATAATAATAATAATAATAGTAATAATTATAATCACCATCATTGTGAATTGTCCTGCAGGATAGTGACAAAATAAGCTTCAACAAATTTTGTGTAAAAACCCAAGTGAAAAATATGACTTATTTTCCGGCTGACGTTTTGTTTTTGTATTCCACAGAAAATGATAACAAAATATGAATGCATAAAACTCCGCCACAGGCTAAGATATGACAAATTAGTTTCAAACACGATGTCGAAATGAGGTGAACGCCAAAAGATAGACATCAATGCAACGTTAATAACAAAAAAAAAAGTGAAACACTTACACACACACAGACACCCACCCACGAGTGAGTATGAATGAAATGCTGTGTGGAAAATTTTATTGAAAACAATTTGTATACATTACTGTGTCTTGTAAAAAATAAAGAAACAGTCATTTGTTAATCATCAACGAAGTCTTCGTGAATACGGTCGTCGTTCTCGTGGCTGTATTGTTAAATTCGCCATTACATTGCGTTTCGTTTCGTATCGGCCATTCATTCGCCAGCTTAGTTTTCTTCCATTTCCATCGATGAGAATTGTAAAACGGATATCGCACCAACAAATACTGTCCGCCTTAATGAATTCCGTGTACCCGGATAAATAATTAACCAAGTTTTAGTTGTCAACAATTAAATATTGAAAAAATGCCTCCCAAACGCCGACGTCGTTTTCAAGGCTTATACTATCATTCGTCGCCGCCTAAAGGTAAGTGAAAATAAATGTCGTATATATATATATATGTACTTAAACACATTCTGTAGTAGTATTAGTGCATATGAATAGAGCATAGGGAGAATTCAATTGAAATCTTCAAATGTATTGTAAAGTTGTCGTTGTTAATTATTGTTATTATTAAAATAGGCTTATGACAGGTAACAAAAATTTAATATAAGGCTAAATAGAATTTGTAAAACAATCGAACATTGTCGAGGACGAATACTCAAGGTTTCTAGATTAAGGGTTAATAATGGAATATTTTTTGACATTTGAGATTGAAAAAGTGACTATTACAGAACGTTTTCCCATTTGAGTGTCTTGGTATTTTGCTCTACTCCGACTGGATTGGTGGTATGTTGGGTTGAGTAGTTCAAAACCTACAGATTGCAAATTAGAGAATATAAGCAGAGAAGATAAGGTGTGCATTGTTTACAAACATTCGATTTTTTGGTTAGGAAGTTAGCCATCAATATAAGACCTGCGATTTTTATACCCTCCACCTTGGAAAGGAGGGTATATTAACCTTGTCATTCCGTTTGCAACATCCCTAAATATTTTCCGCAGACCCCATAAAGTATATATATTCATAATCAGCATAAAATTTTAAGTCGATTTAACGATGTCCGTCTTTCTGTCTGTCTGTCCGTCCGTATGTCTGTATATCTGTTGAAATCAAGATACAGCCCACATTATTTGACATAGAGCGCCAAAATTCAGCAGAATAATTTGTATTGTGTCTAGAATGGTTGGTATTGAAAATGAGATATATCCGTCCACGTTTTGGTATAGTCCCCATATAACGGTACCTTCCGATATGCGGTACTTTTATGGTTTTTGTCACATTTTTTACGGATTTATTTAAAAATTGGTATTTGTTGGTCCTAATGGGTTCTGGCTCCGGTGGCAAAACATTGTATGTATAGGTCCACGATTTGGTATAGCCCCCATATAATGGTACTTCCCGATATGCGGTATTTTTATGGTTTTTGTCACATTTTTTTTACGGATTTGTCTAAAAATTGGTATTTGTTAGTCATAATGAGTTCTGGCTGCGGTGGCGAAACATTGTATGTAAAGGTCCACGTTTTGGTATAGCTCCCATATAACGGTACATCCAGATATTCGGTATTTTGATGATTTTGCGACATTTTCCCACGAATATGTCTAAATATTGGTATTTGTGGGGCCCGGCCGAACTTAATGTTTTTTTACTTGTTATACGCTGCACCATACATAGTATGGAGGTTATATCGAGGTTGTCATTATTTTAGGCACATTTTTCAATTGAATTGTGTGAAATTCTGCATAAGGTGTGGGTACTTTACTTTCTGGAAGATATATAACGATAGCTCTCGATATTCCGTATTTTGATGATTGTAGCTGAATATTTCATTGAAATTGTCTGAAAATCCACAGAAGGAGTTTATTCTGAGTAATTTACCTCTAAAAGAGAAATTTCTATATATGCCCACGATATCGTATATCCTCCACGAATTATGTCCTTTGAACGGCCAATGAAACCGTCACACGCGGCCCGAATGTTACTCTGCGGTATTTTGGCCCATTCTCGGCGAAGGGCTTGCTTGAGGTGATCGACAATTTGGTATTTTTTTATTGCCAACCTTGCTTTTGAAAATTCTCCAGACACAATAGTCCAACGGATTGTTATCCGGAGATTTTGGTGGCCATTGCGGGCTGGGAATGAAGCGAGGAACCTCATTTTGTAACCATTCTTGGGTTACGGAGAGCGACCACGGGCTGTTATGGCGGCCCCCACCATCACCATGGCCGGCGCTTGAGTTCTGGTGGACAACCGAAGGTGCACATTTTCAGCTGATCTCTTTGGCAAGTAAACACGATAATTTTGTTTGTTTAGCATCTGCTGGACAACGAATGTTTCTTATCGGAGAAAAACAAATTCGGCAGTTCACCACTTTCGGCCAAGCGAAGCAACTCTATAGCTTTTTTGAGTCTATTTTCTTTCTGTTGCGCTGTAAGTTCTTGCACTTTTTGGAATTTCAATGGCTTTACTCCGAGCTCATTTTTCAATATTTGCCGAATGCAATATTGCGATATGTGCAGCTCACGAGCCATTTTTGGGCCTCTGTGGCGCGGGTTTCGATCAACTCGCTTCTTTACTTTTCGAACCATTTCTGCTGATGTTTTCTTCCTGTTTACTTTCGTCCACTTTCTTGTCGTCGGGCTACGCTACCAGTATCGCGGTAACGAGCTATAGTACGCGGCACAAAATATTTATTCACATTTAAATGCTGGAGTGTTCTAACGATAGCCACTTGTGGTTTTCCAGCCAAATATAAAGAAATCACACTATCACGCTTGAATTCCATTACGAATAACTTCGTTGCAACAGATCTTGTGTCGATGGAAATATTAAGGTGTTCTATGTCTGATTGGAGTTGGGTGTTAATTTCGCATTTTATGAGCTTCATGGATGTTCAAAATGTTGGCCCTTTGTGGGGGAAGTACTTGATGGAGTGGGCCGATATTGTCCATTTTTGCGCTTGACCTAACTCTGATGCAAATATTAGGATTTGCAAAGTTGAAGCAAAATCTGATCTTTCTTTCCACTAAAATATTTTTTTCTTTAAAATAGGTTGAGGAATTAAAAAACTTCAAAAATCACTTGGTAATTGGCTGGTCCCTGAAAAATATTTATTATAATCCTTAAAAAAGTATTTTGCCAAAAGTGACGATTGTAGCACTTTTGGCCAATGGAAATAACATTTGTTGTCAATTTCACGATCTGGCATTCTTTAAAAATATATTCTTTAAAAATCCACCAATGTGGGTATCTTGGTCTCGGAAAAAATAAATGCTGACATCGAGAAATGCGAATTACTGTTACATGGAAGAAATTTTCGATATTGGTCTTGAAGAAAAATTCTTGAATATTGAACAACAAATTTTCCTAAAAATCGATGTTTATACCTACGTGGATCTTGACCATCATATACTTAACAATTCTTTTCCGTTTGTGAAATGTATAAATTTTTCTAACTGAAATTGACCTTCAAAATACATTACCTAACTCAATAGCGTTTTCACTTAAAGGATAAGTCATCCCTCCCTCCCCATCTCTTTGTTTATATGCTCCATGACAGGTTGTGCACGTTTTTGCCAATGTTAATTAAGGGAAAAACATAATTTCATTCATTTAAGGGTTCCAACCGACCTCGCACACTTTGATATATATCACGAGTATAGATAACCGCACATAATTCTATTGTAACGAAACACATCATTTAATTGCCAATTCAATCGACAAAGTGTTTTTAGATAAATTTTATGTCACCCAGACATGCAAGGGTTATGAGAGCCAATAAATTCACGCACGCTGAAAGTTTCAGACATCGACTATGATGGCAAGGAAATGTGCGTAGATTGCGTGTCTAGCTTCCAAAAGGAAAGTGGTCGGCAGCCAAGACGATTTGGTCGTTTGTTGTTTGACTTTTTGGCGCAATTAAGTTGTAGATTAGTGTTCGTTAGAAAGGTGTTTGTCTGCATGTATTTATCGAAGGAATTTCCATACGGTACAGTAGATTCCTAATAAGTGAAAACAATGAAATTTGAAATATATAACTGGAAAAATGTGTTGGTGCGTGTAGAGTTCGAACAAGTTCGTTCGTTAAGTAGTTCCTGGAACTCCGGTCGTATGAGTGGTATGAAAATTATTAAATAACTCATACGTTTAGGAACTGGTGTACTGAATTATGAACTAGATTGAAAAAAGTCTATGTATGTGTATAACCCCATTAATTTAACTAGACTAGACTTTAACTGGCGCAGCTTAACTGTAATACCTTAACTTCTCCAAGTAATTAAAATGTACTCCTTTGTATACCATACAACACTATGTATTTACGGGTATTATAAGGTTTATTGGACCAAAAATGATGTAATACCTCCAAATATTGGTCCCTAATATAGAGAAATATACATGAATCTAGCGGGTAAAATAACTCATAACTTTTATTTCAAAAATTCGAAAATTTCCACTAAACTGCGAATATTTTTTTAATCCCGGCCGAATCACAAATACATTAAAAGGTCACTTGTGATCATTACAGTGATGCTGATAGCCAAGATATGGGATGTATAGCAAAATAGGTAGAATACAAATTTAAAAGAAATATCAATATCTCATAAGTTCGGAATGGTATTTGACCAGAAAAGGTTAACATCTAAGAAAATCGCTTAAAAACATGCCAATAATAAAACATTGAATATTTTTCTTCAATTTTTGTTATATTTTAAGGGAATGTGAATTTTCAGTTTTTTCTACAGCCTTCAATACTATGTGTTGAGGGTGTTATATACAAGTCACAATTCTCGACCGAACCTCACGAAATTTTGCATGGGGTAGTCTTATGGTCAGAAGTAAAGTCTATTGTTTTTGAAGATGTACACTAGGGGTTGAAATAGACCAAAAAAAATTAAAATTTTAGTGATTTTGCAGTCACTCTATGAGACATAATTGAAACCAATCGACAGGGAATTTTGCATGAGAAAAGAGTTAAGGACGGGGAAGAGGTCTAGAACATCGGGGCAGAGCTCTATGACATCATTTAAAAAACCAGTAAAGAAAGTCTTAAAGTCGGGCGGGGCCGGCTTTATGATACCCTACACCACTTTAGTAGAGCCGCGCATAACAATTAAAAGTTTTTATGGGAGAATTCATTCATACACGCTATGATTATAATTGTAATTTATAGTTCAAAGGACTAAATATGCCGAAGCATTTGTATCTTTTAAATTCGGACTTGTATTGCCCATTTGGTGCACAATTAATTTGAAATCTAATAAAAATATATATGGGAGCTATATACAAATCTGAAAAGATCTCGATAAAATTTGGAAAAGATATTTCTGAGCTGTATTTGATACATTTCTTTGAATATCGTTGTTACGGAGTGCATATTACGGCTGTGGGTAACAAATATGACAAATCGGAACTGCGATATTCAGAG